GCTCCGTGCGGAGAGGTTGGGCTCTTCTCCCGCCAGCTCAGACCCCACCTAGAAGCTGCCCCCAGGGAAAATCTTCCAGCCCGATCCGTTTCCCAAGCGGGAAGCCTTCCCCAGCCCTCGCTGTCCTGGGGTTTGGTGTGCCAATAACATCCCACAGCTCCCCCTGGGGAGATCAGTGCTTCCCTGGGGAAGCACAATGGGATCAGAAGAAGGAAACAACCTCCTGAGTTGTTTCTCCGGCTGATCATTCCCATTTGTGTGATGCGTGAGCTGGTTTTGGCGGGAGCTCCGTCGTGCGTGCAAGCTCAGCTCCGTCCTCCCCCTCCCTGCAAGCCCAGACCCTCCTGCCCTGGACACCCCATGGGAGCAGATAGCAGCTCCCACCCCAGGGACTTTGTCCTGAGGTAGGGAATGCTTAAGGATGGAAAAGCTCCGGGACAGGCTTTCTCCACTCCTCGCAGCGCCCTGACCATAGGGTCCCTCACTCGTAACCCTGCAGCACCCCAGAGCAGCTCCGGGCGCCGCAGGGCTCAGAGCTGGGAGAAGCTCAGGGAAGCTGCTTGTCCAGTGGACGCCCAAGAGTTTTCCCAGGCAAAGCTGCGCTCCAGGGGCAGCTTTACTGGTCACGAGGAAGAGGAGCCTTTTCCCGGGGTTTCCACACACGAGCCGTGGAGAGCACAGGAGGGACTGGAGTCCCTCGGGGGAGCAGCACAGGGCTGCAGTGAGCCCGGACCCCACGGAGCCACCCACACTGGGGGCTACGGTGACAACCAGGGGTGGGTGGCACTGACCCCGGCGCACATCTGTCCCTCCCCCATGCCCCTCTGCTGCTCCCCTCCCTCCTTCTCACAGGCTTCATGGATTTGTGCACCTCGGAACACGTGAAGGGCTCCGATATCCCTCTGGATACGGCTGCAGCATCGCCAGCACGGAGGAGCCGGGAGCTGTGCCAGAGAGTCACCGGATACCTGGGCAAAGGGGTTGGAGAACGAACACTGCTGGCTTTCCAGATTCCACAGTGCTCGTTAGTGGCCAGGAGGGCACGGGTCCACACAGGCAGAGCCCCCCCTGAGCCTCCTCCGGCAGGAAAAGCTCATGGGAATCTCACGCACAGGGATTCCAAGTTACTCACGTTGCTGATCTGATCCTGAGTCTTTTTGATTCTCTGCAGCTCCGGGGTGTCAGCCACAACGCTGAAGCCTTTCCCCTTGTTCTTCTCAAACTCCTCCTTGTAGCGAATCTGGGTACAAACAAGAAAAACCACCAGATTTCAACATCGGGGAAGCTGGATTCGGCACCGGACCCTCACCACCACCCACATGCTTCACGGGATGCAGCAGCTCCGAAGGGGAGCTCTGCTTGCTCAGGAGACCCCTCCCAAGGGACCCACTACCAGCCAAACGGGGTGTTGCCGTGAGCCGAAACACAACTTCCCAATGGTTCTCTTTCAGCAGGGGCTGGGATAACTCGGATTTACTTTGAATTCCCATGGGCTCCCAGCACGCCCGAGTCCCGTAGCACGGAGCAGCTGACCCGTGGCGAGATGCCCCCTCGGGAGCCCCGAGGATTTTAGGAGCTACACCCGTACAAAAGTGTTTCCACATCGGGGGATGCTCAGCCACCTCCAGGAAGGAAAACACCCCCAGGACCACAACAAAACCGGAGAGTGGAGGCTGGCAACAACCATCTTCATTTCTGTTTGCCAGACACTGACATCAGCATCCCTTCTCATCACACCCAGGAGCTGAAAAGTCCCATTTTGTTCCATTCCCTTCCCCCCTTCTCTTTTTTTTAATATGCTGTACATGGATTTAAGGCTGGGGTTTCCAGCTCTCCCAGGAGGGAGCTAACACAGCACCCAACCACAACCCAGATGTGCCCCAGCCCCCAGCAGCCTCGGCTGCGGGATGGCTGGTCACAGAATCACAGAATCCCAGACTGGTTTGGGTTGGAAGGAACCTTAAAGCCCACCCAGTCCCCCCCTGCCATGGGCAGGGACAATTTTCATAGACCAGGGTGGTC